GTGTGTGTGTGTGTGTATGTTTTTTGCTGTTGCTTGGGGGGGGGGGGTGTTTTTTTGCATAGCCTGAACGTGAAGCCCTTCAACCCATAAACCTCAACTCTCAACCCTGAAGCCCTCGACCCTGTTGCAACCAAAGCCTACATACTTTCTGAAATGGGGGCTTCCGACAATAGGGGACCNNAATATGGTACCCTAAATAGTAGGATCTCCATTATAAGGACCAAAAATAAGGTACCTAAACCCTAAACCCTTAACCGTGGCACCCCTTGTTTTCGGAAACTCCCCACATCCCTAAGTCGTGAACATTGGAGCTCGGAAGGATCAACCCTAGGCGTTGGCACTTTAAAGTCTTTTAAAGTCTTTTAATATGAGGGGTAGGGTTTGGGGTTTAGGGTTTAGGGAAATATGCGCTTTGGGGTTCAGGGCTTAGGGTTTAGGGATCCTCTTCCTAGACCCCAACTACCCTCCATTCTACTCCAAATTAGGGACTATAAGGGCTGTATTAAAGGGCCATTTAGGGGTCCTGATTAGATCTAGAAAGGGAAAACATGTACCTAAAGCCCTCCCTATTAAAAGACCTAAGCAAAGGAAAACATGTTCCAAAGGCCTAGAACCCTCCCTATTACTAGACCTAAGCAAGGGAAAACATGTTCCAAAGGCCTACCTAAAACCCTCCCTACTAATAGACCTAAGCAAGGGAAAACATGTTCCAAAGGCCTAAAACCCTCCCTATTAATAGACCTAAGCAAGGGAAAACATGTTCCAAGGCCTAAAATCCTCACTGTCGAACCCTAAACCCTAAACCGTAAACCCTGAACCCTAAACCCCAAACCCTAAACCCTTAACCCTAAACCCTAAACCAATTCCGACCTCATCATCCGCCTCTTGCTGTGGAGCCCTCCCGGGGGTGGCCTGCACGACAACATCAAACAAGCACGATGTAGGACAAAACGCCGTTGAGGATTTCGAACTGAAGGATGCAGGATTAAGTACGGGTTTAGGGTTGAAGGTTCAGGATCCATTGAATTTTGGGGTCGGAGTAAGGATTTCGTGATCTATACTGTCGGCTGCTACTTGTGCAGTCTTCGTCGTAGCGTTTTAAAGCCTAAACCCTAAACCCTGAACCCTAAAGCCTAAAACCTAAACCCCAAACCTTAAATCCTGAACCCTAAACCCTACGACTTCCGGCTCTGCCTCTTCAGCCCGCCCCGTCGACGACCTGCGAAGGGCAAGACTCGAAAAGCTGTCTGGTCTTGAACCATGTTCAGATTTAGGGTGTAGTTTAGGGTTTAGGGTTTAGGGTTTAGGGTTTAGGGTTTAGGGTTTAGGGTTTAAGGTTTAGGGCGTAGGGTTTGGGGTTTAGGGTTTAGGGTTTAGGGTTAGGTTTAGGGATGCCTAAATGATTAGAACATGGTTTTGGAGAGTGTTTATCGTCGTATTTTTCAATAAAGAACCAAGGAAGACTACTGGCAACTCATCAGGCTTCTATGTTATCTGCTGCGGGGCTTTAGGGCTGGTTTCAAGTAGGACTAGGGATGTAGGATGCTTGCAACCCAGGGGCCTTAATAATTACGTTGGGGTGGTGTTTGGGGTTCTGTCAAGAATACTAGCTATTATACTTGTAGCAGTAAGGAACCCTCCAAAACGATGGTAAGTATTATGGGACCTTTCTTAGGTTATGGGGTTGGGTAAAGTAGCGGCCCTAATCTTAACACTTTTAATGGGATTTTGGGATCCTTATGCCCTAAACCTCAAACCGGAAACCCTAAACCCCAAACGCTCAAACCGGAAACCCTCAGCCATGAACTAAACCCCATCGGGCGGCTTTTGGGGCTTTTCAGGAAATCCAAACGGTTACTATAGAAGCCCAGAGGATTACCAAGACTTTTCCTTAGAGTTCAGGGTTTGAGGTTCATAGGGTTGATTCGGCTTATGGTTGGGGTTTAGGGTTTACTCGGCTTTAGGTTTAGGGTTTCGGGTTTTTCCAGTCTAGGGCTTAGGGCGTAGGGCTTCGGGTTTAGAGTTGCAAAGACAGTGCAGGACAGCCTCGTCGGCTTGTCAGGCTCCTCGCCTTCGCCTTGTGGAATTGTTGGAGGGTCTGGTTGTTGTTGGTGGTCGTTGTACTTGTTGTTGTTGCTGCTGCTGTTGTAGTTAGTTGTAATTGTATTCGTAGCTAGATTAGTAGTAGTAGTAGTAGTAGTGGCTACTACTACTACTACTACTACTACTACTACGACGACGACGACTACGACTACTACTACGATACTACTACTACTACTACTACTACTACTACTACTACTAATACTACTACTACTACTACTACTACTGTTACTACTGCTACTGCAACTACTGCTACTACAAGTACTACAAGTACAAGTAGTGTACCTTTACCCGTACTTGTACTCGTACTCGTACTAGTATTTGTCGTCGTCGTTGCATTGATATTCTAGTTCTTACTACTAGTTCAATCTTCCGCGGACTTGAACGGCTTGCTCATTCCGAGACAGCTTTATGGTCTCGGGTTTAGTGCTTAGGATTCTTTCTTTGGGCTAGAAGTCTGAGAGAGGCAAGCTCTGGTTTTCGCTGGGGTTCCTTATAGCCCTAAACCCTAAACCCTAAACCCTAAGCCCTAAACCCTAAACCCTAAACCCTAATAGGTTCTTGATCGGATTTCATAGAGTTCTGTCGCCTCCGTGGTTCGGCAGCTTTCTTATTGCATCTTCGTAGCTTGTAGGGTTTTAGGGTTTAGGGTTTAGGGTTTGAGGGTTTTAGGGTTTTAGGGATTTAGGGATTAGGGATTAGGGTTTAGGGTTTAGGGTTATTCAGTTTGCTATAGGTATACGAGCTCAATCTAGACATGTTTAAAGTCATCAATCAAGAGGTGTTGGGGATCCCCTGTTGCAATCTCAAACGAAGCTGGTACTTCCAAGCCTCTTCGGTTCATAGTCGCGCCCGAGACCCTAAAGCCTAAACCGTCAAGCCATCCCTAAACCTAAACCCTAAACCCTAAACCCAATTTGAGGGGATGAGTGGTTTGGGTCTAGGGAGACTCCCCACCGTTCACTTAATTAGAGGGTTAAGGGTCTCGGGTTTAGGGTTGAGGGTTTAGGGTCTCGGGTTTAAGGCTAGTTGCTACCTCCCCTGATCTATCAAGAGGCCGCGACCAAGAAATGAATACCGAAAACCTCCCTGAACGCTAACCCCTGCTTGAACACCCAAAAAGGTCCATGTACCATAAACGTAAGCTCTTAGAGACTCTTAGAAGATATTTGGGCCCCAAAAGTATGCTATACTGTTACATGGACCCTTTACGGCAAAAACACTATCAAAGCTGAGCTTGCGGGCTGCTGGAGCTCGACGCACTGGACTCCCCCCCTTGATCCTCCTTTCAAGTTCGACGAGTTAAGCTTCATACTGGACTTTGAAGTAACCAGTGAGAAAAAAGTATAGACTCTCATTCATAATGGTTCTTTTAAGTAACAAGTCCAAACAAGTATTCAAGTAATTATTGTACTCCAGAACCCAGTAGAACCGGTGTTGGGGGTTAAGGGTTTAGCGGTCTATCTGGGGTTAAGGGTATTTAGGATCCTCCTTTCAGGGTTCAGGGTTTTCTTGGTGTCGGATTTAAGGAGTCACGGTTTTAGGGGTTAAGGGTTATCAAAGGCTATCCGCCGACCCCGCTGGGGCGGCGCCCAGAAGCTAGATCATGCCCTACGCAACCGCACT